TGGGTTTCCGAGGCAGTATCACTACGGAAGTAGGATTGCCCAACCTTCCTTCCGAGGAGTGGCTGGTGGGTTTGAACCGCCAGCCTTCTGGTAAGCAGTAGTACTAGAACCCTTTAATTTTAGAAGATTGAAATTTTGCACATATGAAAATTGATACCAAGTAATATAAAGAGGTACATCTAAGGCCCCGCATCTACTTAGGGGCCACACTTGAAATTAAAGAAACCTAGGTGTAGTGCGTAAGGCTCTTAACTGCTAACCAGAAGGCTAGCAGTTCAAAACCACCAACCACTCCTAGGAAGGAAGGTTGGGCAATCTTGCGTAGTGATACTGCCTCAGAAACCCCAGAAGGGATCGCTATGAGTCAGGTCTGACTGGATGGCAAATAAAAACAAAGCTTAAGAAATTAGTTAAGTATTTGTTCCACTATAATCTCTTTCCATAAATGAAAAAACTATAGTGAATACAGGTTAATAGACATGCCAAATTCATTCTGCTTTTTAGTCACAGAACCAATCCTAGTACTAAACATTGTAAGAATTAGAAATTGGGAACAAATATTTATTGACCCTCTTTCTAACCTAACACTGTCCCTGTGATCATCATTTTCGTCCTAAGCAAGAGCATACATTTTACTAAATGGAACAAGGTGAAACATATTTGAAGCTGTATTATTTGCTAGGGCAACAACTATTGACATGTTTACTGGTTTCAAAAGAAAAAGCAGACAATACCAAGACAAAGTGGGAGAAGGGAATAGTCTTCTATTTTACTTGGACATTTTTGTTTTGCTTTGTTTTTTAGCTTTTATCTCCCAAAAGTATTGTTAAATGTTTTCCAAAGCAACATAGAAATTTTCTCTGCTGATTTTAAGCACATGAAGTACGTTTGAAAATATTACAGATATTTGTATCTGTATGATCAGTTTGCTTTGACCAGTAACAAGAAGACATCATGCCAAATCAAAGTTTGAAGGCTTTCCAAGCTCATTTTGTTGCTTTTACTTAGTAGTTCCTAGGAATCTAGCAAAGAAACATTTTCCTAAACTTAATAATTAATGTCTCATCACCTCAGTCTCAAAACTGATGACTCTTCTAACTATCCGTATTTGCTGATGATATGATCCTATACCTAGAAAACCCAAGAGACTCAGTCAAAAATCTGCTGGAACTAATTGAGAGATTTAGCATCATGGCAGGATATAAGATCAACATCCAAAAATCAGTTGGATTCCTCTAAACCAGCAAAGAGATTGCTGAAA